TTATCACTATTAAATGTGATAGTCAAAGTGCAATACACCTGTCGAAGAATTTAGCATATCATGAGCGAACCAAACACATCGATGTAAGGCTGCACTTCGTCAGAGAGATAATCGAGCATGGAGAAGTCCAAGTGCGAAAGATTTTGACTGATGACAATGCTGCTGATATGATCACCAAGACATTGTCGAACTGCAAGTTTTTCATTTGTATGCAGTTGATAAAGTTGCATGATAAAAGCTAGATTATTCTCTGTTATTGTAGAGTTTGTTCTAATGTGGAGATTTGTAAGATATTGGATCGAAGTCTGGTGTTGTCGACGTGGAAGTTGTCAGCAGGGATAGCTTTCATGTTTCGACAGGAGACAAGCATGAAGTCGAAGCTGGTTCACATGCTGACGTCGAGGTGTTACATGTTGTAGTCGAAGTTTGTTTTAGTATGTAATTTCAAAATGTAATGTCGAATTGGGCCTTGTGTTATGGACCCAATTATTTAGGTTAGCTTGTTATTTAAGTTAACTTAATAGCCTATATAGGCTAGATCTCTCAGGTTGTTGAGAGAGGCCAATTGTTGTTATTCACTTATAATCATGTGTATCCTAATTGAGTAAGTGAATAGAAAAACAGTTTGCCTAATCTTATTCTCCTTTTTTCTTCTCTCTCTCTCTCTCTCTCTCTCTCTCTCTCTCTCTCTCTCTCTCTCTCTCTCTCTCTCTCTCTCTCTCTCCCCCTCTCTTTATCTAACTGTTTCATTGTTCACCCAAGAAACCCTGTTTTTCAATCAAGAATTTGTTAATTGGTATCGTTTGTTACAACAATATATATACCTTATCACCACAAATGTTAACAAAAATCGTAATAAAATGTAAGTAATATTTACAACGGTATCTGGTAATAACTGTGGTAATACATATTTTAATATTAATATATTTATAAGATTATAAGAACAAGTCTTTTTTGTAACTAAAAAATTTAAATATTATTGGTGCTGAGAATCGAAGCAAATAATCTTTGGTCTATCTCAACGATTGTTATTAAGAATCGTGCTAGGAAAATGAGTTAATATTGAGGTTGTTTAAACGGTCGTAGTAATATGGTGTTACCAAATGTATATTTTATAATAGTGTGAGTTCTTCTAGATACAGCCTCATGAACGGTGTTCCCTCGTTGAGGCACGTTATGTAAGCTTTCCTCAAAGAAAATCAACCTTTCTTCTATCGCTTATGAATTTTGCTTCCGAATGATGTCCTACATGTTGTTCAACAACTCGTTAACTCCTTACAATTTAAGATTAGCTTGCAGTAACTGGAAGTCAAGTAAGGCTTCAGGCTGTGAGATTGAAGGTGGAATTGAAGGTACGATAGAAGGAACATGGACATACCCAGCTACCTAAGGATTCTGGACCAAACCTAGATGTAACAAAACTTCTTCTCCTAGACTTACAATGCCATATGGAGGTTGTTAACGAATCGCTGCTTAAATTGCGACAGTAGCAGCAACAATGGCTTCTCGTGCAGCGGTGAAGTGAGTGACTTAGAAGTGTAGAGATCGGAGATCTATAATTTATAGAAATTTAAATTGAAATGATATTTGATTGAATCAAACTTGGATCTTTGTGTTCAACTTTGAAAACTCTTGATTCGATAACCTGAGAAAGTTACAAATTAGAGAATTGAATAGCGGACATAAAATCGTGGAAAACGCATGAATCAGAAGTCAATATTCACAGATGGTGCCGGTAACCCGTATCGAAATCAAAAATGAAGTGAGGATTAGAAGTATTGACAAATCTGAGCTTCCAGTACGGCAGATAGCGACGGACCTATAAAATTATGACTCTAACGTTCAAATCAGTATATGAGAGAGAAGAGTTAATTGAAACTAAAATTGAAACTTAGCACATTCTTTATATATAATAGAAAGGAATTGGCACCTTTTTTTTTTAAACAGTAAATTTTTAATATAAGATTTTTTCTGAATTTTAACTGGCCCAACTGTTATTTTAAAAAAGATGAGAAGCTTTTAAATTTTTTATTTTAATTGCCCCAAGCTTTAAACTCATCATTATTCTTTCTATATGTTGTTCACTAGCATCACTAAAATCTAACTATACTCATCAAAAGAATAACCAATCATTTGAAGTCTTACGGTTAAAAGTAACTAAGCAATTCATAATAATTGATATTATTTAACTTGTTTAACAAGTTATGTAATTTTCCATTTCTGAAAGATCTATTGTAAATAGCATAATTGTCCTAAATTATGAACTACTATAAAAGAACATTCTCCTTAATATATTATGAATATATATAACATCTACAATGCCTTATAAATATGCTCCTCTTTTTAGTATGAATTAATTAATCATTTGTAACCATCTTTACTAAATAATTTAAAATTACTCGTTTAACATTTTCTTTTCTTACTATTAATAGAAACTACTTATGATATCTTCTATATATACAACACATTTTAACATTATATTCCTTAAATGTTTCTTATCATATAAACTGCATAATGCAATTCTACAATATATCAGCATCATTGTATTATGAAATTATTATCTACCTATCATTGTAAAATTGAAACTGAATTAAGAGTATATACTATCAAAATTCAAAATGGAAGAAGGCAAAGAAATGAAGATAGCAAGATTTTCAAGCTGTCGCGGTGTAGCATTTGAGATCAATCCTAGCAGAAGAAGCAGCCCTTTTGCGATTGATTCACCAACAAAACCAGAAAGATCAATTGGAACATGGCTTTGGATTCCATGGACAAGAAACAATTCATTCAAAATTCTTCCTCAGCCTCAAGCTATTAGTCCGACTCGTAGTCGAGCAAGCAGCCACTTCTGTGACATCAACATCGACGCGGATGATGTCGAGCTAGAGTTTCTATCAGAAGTTGAAGACATAGAAAAGAACCAAGAAAAAGTTAAGGTACTGTCAAAATCAGAACCAACAAAAAGAAATTCAAGGTTGTCTGTTATTCTGCTAGATCAAGGTTTCACAGTTTACAAAGGACTATTCATGGTTTGCATAACCTTGAATTTGTTAGCACTTGCTCTTTCTGCTTCAGGGAATTTTTCATATGGTAAATCAAAAGCTACACTTTTCTCCATTGGAAACATTCTTGCTCTAACACTATGCCGAAGCGAGGTGGCGTTAAGGTTTCTTTTCTGGTTTGTTGTCAAAACAATAGGGAAGCCTTTTGTTTCTCTTAGAATCAAAACAGCAACAACTTCATTTCTTCAAAGTGTTGGAGGAATTCATAGCAGCTGCGGCGTTTCCTCGATAGCATGGCTAGTTTATTCTCTCATTCTCACGATCCAAAACAACGACAAAACCTCGCCCGAGATTCTTGCCGTTACGTTCACCATCCTATCGCTCATTACGCTATCTTCGCTCGCAGCTTTTCCTCTTATCCGCCATCTGCATCACAATGCTTTCGAGAGAATCCACCGATTTTCAGGTTGGTTAGCTCTTATACTTCTATGGTTATTCATTCTTCTTAGTATAAGCTATGAGCCTAGTTCAAAAACCTATCACTTAACCATTTCAAAGATGGTTAAGAAACAAGAGTGTTGGTTCACTTTAGCCATCACAATTCTCATTTTGATCCCATGGTTAAGTATAAAAAAAGTACAAGTTCATGTTACAGCACCATCAAATCATGCTTCAATCATCAAATTCGAAGGCGGTGTTAAACCGGGTTTATTCGGTAGAATCAGTCCATCACCATTATCTGAATGGCATGCATTTGGAATCATATCAGATGGAAAAAAGGATCACATGATGCTAGCTGGTGCAGTTGGTGATTTCACAAAATCATTAGTTTCATCACCTCCAAAACATCTCTGGATTCGATCAGTTCATTTCGCTGGGTTACCTTATCTAGTAAACTTATATCAAAAAGTGTTGCTAGTAGCAACAGGTTCCGGAATATGCGTGTTCTTGTCATTTCTTCTGCAGAAAAATAAAGCTGATGTGTATCTGATTTGGGTTGCTAAAGATATTGAAATGAACTTTGGAAATGAGATAAAAGAACTAGTTGGAAAATACTCAAAGGAGAAAGTGATTGTTCATGATACCGCAGTTTCGGGTCGTCCTAATGTCGCGGAGATTAGTGTTAATGCTGCTATTAATTGGAATGTTGAAGTTGTTATTGTTACTAGTAATCCTGAAGGTAGTAGAAATGTTGTTAAAGCTTGTAGCAAAGCTAAGATTCCTGCATTTGGTCCCATTTGGGACTCTTGATTTGCTCAAAATCACAGTAACTTGTAATGCAAGTAATTTATTATTACTTCTATTTTTGCATGATAACAGTGTAAAAAAGTAATAAATTACTTCTGTTTACCTATAGTAGTAAACTAGTAGTAGTAACAATTATTGTAAAGAAAATAATGTTGACTAGTATCAAAACACAATTTTCTTATTGTCTTATTTTTTGTTTCATTATCTCCAAGTTGATTCATTATCTCTATAAAATAAGTAAAAATGAAGGTCAAATTTAATGATATGCCACCTTGTAATCAAGAAGTTCCTTATAAAGGAATGATTCTTGTACTGGATTGAAAGATACACCTTGATTATAATATGATTAAAAATGTACAACTATTGTTAATGCAGGATTTGGTAGGTAAGCTTATAAGTGAATGATTAAAGACTAGTAATTTTTCTCAACTATACTATTATATGATTAAATAATTTGCAAGGAACATTAGCAATAACAGAATATTAAATAAAAGTATATATTATTACATTACACTCAAAATGCATCAAATTTCAAGGATATGAAATACAACATTGACTTACAAAAGACATTAACATAAGATATATTTGCTATTATTGACAATCTCAGAATGAGATTGCAATTTATTCACACAATTTCCATAAAGCAAAACCACAAAACATTGAACTTTTTCAAAGACAGCTAACTAAGATTAACATATTAATAAACCTTCTGCATCAAACAAACACATTCATTGTCTTCAAACTTTGAAATCAAGAAAGATTATTCTTTGGTGCTCTATATCCTTCCTGCTTGGCACGATCAAGAGAGTGAGAATCTGACCCAATATTCTTCTGCATTGACTTTTCAACTTCATCATCTTCACCAACAACAATGACTTTAGTTGTATGTGCAATCTCAGCTATAGTTTCACCTATAGCATCCAAAACACCACCACCAGCATCTTGTCCCTTTTGAGTAATAGTAGTGCCACCATGTTCCTTAACTTTAGTATTAGCAGCATTATCTATTGGTTTAATCATGCTACTTCCAATGTCACTCACAGTTTCAGTTACAGCCCCTAATATATCACTTCCTTTTCCTTGTACCTTCTCTTGAAGATTGGTTCCTTGTGCTTGAGTTCTTTCTCCACTTGGAGTCACTTTTTGTGTATAGTTGCTCACATTTGATGGCAAGATTTCTTCACCTTCCTAAAATCAAACCTCAATTTTCAGTGTAATGTTAACAATAGAGGGTAATAATAGTAATGAATAGAGAAATGTTAACAATAGAGGGTAATAAAAGTAATGAATAGAGAACAGAACCTGAATTTGAGAAGCTCTTTTAGCCTCATATTCACGCCATGATTCTTCTTTCTTTCTAGCAGTAAACCCCTTAGCAGTCTCACCAGCAGAAGCAGCCAAACCTTTAACAGTTTCCACCGATTTCGCTGCAAGCTCAGAAGCCTTAGGTGCAACATATCCAACCGCTCCCTCAACAGCATTCGCAGCAGCCCTAGTTCCATCCACTGTCAACTGTGTGGCATAGTGCGACGCAGTCCACCCTGCCACAGTGGCCTTCTCCTTCAAATCAACCGCCACTTTGGCAGCAATTTCCGCGGCACACTTGGCTTTCTCCGCCGCTGTCTTACCTGTTTCCAGAGTAACATCTTTCGCCTGAACAGCCACACACTTGGCTTTCTCCGCTGCAGGAGTAGCATACTCCGCCGCAGTTTTTGCAGCATTTGAAACTGTGTCTCTTGTTGCCTCATAACCTTGTTGTGTCTTTTCAAAAGTTGCATTTTTAGCCTGTGCTGCTTTCTCAGCAGCAGTTCTTGCAGCATTTGAAACTGTGTCTCTTGTCGCTTCATAACCTGGTTGTGTTTTCTCAACAGTTGCACCTTTTGCTTGTGCTGCTTGTGTCGTGTTGCGTAGTGTTTCATTTGTTGCTTGTTTCGCTCTTTCGTATTTCTCTTGTGCTTCTGACAGCGCTTCCAATGCACTTTGTTGAGCTTGGTTTCTATACTTCGATATCTCTTCCGTTGTTAACCTTTTCTCTTCTTCTGATACATTTGCATTCAAAGGAACACCTGCACGATCAAGGTAACTTTCTGATACATTGGCATTCAAAGGAACACGTGCACCACGATCAAGGTAAGTTTGATTCTCGTTGCGAGGGAGAGACTGAAAGTTTGGTCCAAGTTCGTGGGTTTCTCGATGCTCGAAGTGGGTTGTTCTTAGAGGGACATTGTCTTTCTCGACGGTTGTGATGTTTCCTCTGCGAGATAATTGTTCAGACGCCATTGTTGATGATGAATTCGGTCTTGAAAATAAAAAGAACAGAACAAAGTACTATGTACGGTTTTTCTTTTATGTTTTTTTTGTGATGTTTGATGTTTTTTTGTATGTTGATGGTTATGAGAATGAGACTGTGTATGTTTTAAAAGGGAATGAGATTGGCGGTTTGAAGAGGTTGGTGCTGGAAGGTTTTTGCATGGGAAAGGACATGTGTGTCTATTACTCACACGTGTGATGATATTGTGTGACTCAGCATAGTGAAAATGAAAATTACAATGATTGTATCATAAATGACTCTGGATTTTACATGTTTAATGACACGTGGGAAGTTTAAAGAGTGCCACGTATGAGTTTGTGCTTGGTGATCGTACGGTAAGACACATGGCTGGCCCCAACAAGTGTATGGTTACTTGTCGATTGTGATGCTTCATTCGGGAATATTCAATTCAATCTTTGCTACTCTATTGTCTATTCGGGTACAGGATTGACTTCAACTATATAGTTAAAATCAAAATATTTAATTGACTTCGATTATATAGTTAAGATCAAAAGATATAAGTAAGTTTTCATAAATGACCGGTAGTAATAGAAAATTAACACTATCAAAAGGATTATATGGTAATTGGTAAATGATCTATTTTAACGCACTTCTAACAATTTTTATTGAAAAAACTCAAATTTCGCATTGATTAAAGATAGAACTTATAGAGGATTTATATAGAGTGACATTTTTTATTAATCGATTTTGTAAGATTGAGTTATGTCAAATTCTAATTCTATTATTATATCTACGCATCAAATCTAATAGGGTTGGGCGTGAGATGATGTATTAGAAAAAATTCAAGTTCTACATTGGTTAAAGATAGAACCCACAAAGATTTTATATAAGTGGCACCCCACACCTTAAAAGTGAATTTTGTAAGATTGAGTTGGGTCAAACTCTAATTCTATCAGTTTCTGCTAGCCACGTGGCAAAATAAAAGTTACATCACATACCACTTTCTCCATTACTCTTTTCTCCCACCCTTCTTGTATTCTCTCCCCTCATTATTAAGTTCCACAGTCTAAGTTATATTTAGCCTGGCTAATAAGGCTATAAGTTCCTCGACCAAGGTGTTAGCCTCTCGGGTGGGACTTCTACCAAGTCTTCAGATAATACTTGTGACTAAGTTTCTTAGGCTAGAGATTGGTTGCGCCTCTTAGGCGTTATTTTTTTGTCTGATTTCGCTCGAGGAAACACTAAATAGCTCAGGGAAGGATTTAATTTGCCTAGGAAATCTAAGTCCCTCAGGAAATGTTATATGTAACCTAGTTGATGGGACTTTAATTCCCTCGAACGAGGCGTTGGATCTCTCAGGTGAGACTTCTATCAAGCCCTCAAACAAAACTTCTGACTAAGTCTTTATTTACTGTGAAATTTAGTAAACAAGTGCTAGTCTCTTATTGAAGGTTACTTACATGATCGACTAGATAATCTTAGGACGTTGTGCTAAAAATTCTCTTATAGTTTTGTATTATAAATGGAGGATTTCGACGTGGTTGAAATCTTTGAGAAGAATTAATGTAAAAGTATAGTTTCTGGAATATAAATGATTTCGACAATGCTAGAAAGTGAAAATTTGTAAAAGTGAATGCAGAATGAAATTCTTGCACGAATATACCAGATATCGAGACAGGTGTCACAACACTGGGATCAAGACAGTTTGAACACTCACAAATACGCAGAAAAATAAATGACAGAAAGATAAATAACACCAATAGTTATTAACACAATTCGGTGCAACGTCACCTACATCTGGGGGTTATCAACCCAGGAAGGAAATTTACTATGACAATATTAATTCAAAGCTAAACTCCCCTGTTTCCAACTTATCACGTAATCACTACCTTATACAACTTTTACATAGACACCCTCTAGATATGAGATCCCCCTCTCACTTTCTATCAGTCACAAAGCAGTGACAATTCAACAACAACCCAAAAATAGAAGTTCCAACACTTCCAAGTACAATACTAATTTTGCTTAAAAGCTTTAACTAAGAACAATACACTATTTCTTAAAAGCTTATGAGTGAACAATTAACAATTAACAAGCAGTCAACTCAATGCATCAAAACTGATATAAGAGTGACATACAAAGAAAACACATTAAACCCTAAAGAACCACCAAGACACGACTAATCCTAAATCTTCAAAATCAACGCTTTCTTTAGGTTTAGAAAACCCCTTTAAATAAGCATCACAACTGCATGGGTTTGAGCTTGCAAAATAAAACGCAAATCACCAGGAATCAGCTTTAAATCAATTACATAATATCCTGCACAATAATAGGAACAAAAACAAAAAGTTTCCTAAAAATACCCAACGATCCTTTTTAAGAAATACAATCAAATCTGTCACAACAGAAGTTTCCAAAATATCCTCCGTTGGATGATAATAACGTGTGAATTAAAACACACTCAAAACTCACACTTAAAATACCAAAACAGTCATGCCTTAACTTTCTGGTATAACATGTCACAACATCATACTGAACGTGATGTCTGACTCTCATAGCAGAACATCTGGCTTAACATCTTCCTGACAATATGTATTACCAAAATGTTGCCAATTCAAAAACCACAAAACTTACAATATTCCCCTTTGCCAAATTTTGGCTAAAACAACCTTAGAACAAATCAGGAGTATGCACAGCGGAATCACAAACAACACAAGCTACATGAAACCATGTAAGTTTTGTACATATTGTAGCTTTGCAGCAACAGACCAGACAAGTTCATAACTCCCCCTGCCACATATAGACAATGCTCCCCCTAAAAAAGAAAACCCAAAACACAAGAAAAAACAAATATGAACTATCCAAGTTCACACATCCCTCTCAAGGAAAAAACCGAAATCACAAGAAAAGAGCACAAGCTCACCAAATAGTAGCAACAACTAACTCCCCCTAAATTACCTAGATTATGAATTCAGCAAAGCACAAATAAACATAATGTCAAGACATCTAATCTAGCATCACAGAATAATCAGAAGCAACACAGACCCAGTACCAGAATTCCCCCTCAAGACCACAACCCACTGCAGAGAAAGATAGATTCTCCCAGAAGCATCATTACTCCTTATCACAAAGGACATTCTGAACTATCTCAGAGACACGTGAAGCTAGAAGATCCTTCTTTAAACCACAAGCATGGAAGACACTCATGCTCCGCCTCAATAGTTGCATACAGCTTGCAACCATAAAGCTCACTAAAACATGACCTGATGTCATGACACCTGATCCAACATCAAAAATGGACATTGCAGCAAACACACTAACACTTTACTCCCCCCCTTTTTAGCCAAAAATTGACCCCAAAAAATTAGAGTAAATGTAAACAAACATAAATGGAAGCACAAAATTGCAATGGAAACAAACAGCTCTAATGGAAACACAAAAATGCATAAAGCATAAACACAAATAGAAACACACATTCAAATCATTTTTAGATGATCTTCCACCTCTTGCCCTTATCAAAGATCCTTCTGCATTCCTTGTTGCTGCCACATGTTTTAGAAAGAGTGATAATGGATCTCCTAGCCACTGTCTTCTTCACACCAGTCTTTTTACCTTGCACAGTAACTTGCTTAGGCCTACCAAGCATCAGAAAATAGAGATAAGATGCAGTATATGTTGCATTCCTCCATATCTTTAATTGCTACAACTCCTCAATAGTATTAGTTCCTACCTCACAACTTATGTTCTCAATTGCATTTGAATATAAGGCTTTAGTAAACATAACAGTCAGCTGATCCTTAGTGTCAACATGCCCCAAAATAAAAACCTTTCCTTCATCAAGATTCTTGATTAGTTAATTATACCTGTCAGGGTTCTTGTTCCATCCATGTTGAATGAAATATCTAATAACATTCAGATCCTTACAATGTAATATCAGACCATCAGCTTTGTCATTATGTTTCTTCAACATCTGTCTTATCCACACTAGTTAAAGGCAAACTCCTCTAGTTTCACCTCCTTCTGCTGCAACAGTCCACCAAGAAGCCATATTTGCTTCTTATTGATGCAGGAAATCTAACTATTTGTTGGAGATAAAGAGCCATACATATCCCTAACCCATTCTACCTTGCATAGTTCTTTCAACATATCATTTGTGTTGTAAGAGTAATGCATACCACAATCCATTTTTCCAATGATGCAATTCAAGATCTTCTTCTCTTGAACAATAGGACTCATCCTTGATTCAAGTTTGAAGACAAGACATGAGTTTGATATTACCTTTGTAGATTCAGTGATGTCCCCTTCATTAGGGTGTCTTCCAATGATTTCCTTGGTTTGTTTTGTATAAACTCTAACAGAGAGACCTGTAGTAACTTGAGAGTTATCTGACACAATGCCAGTGAAATTACAACTTTCCTCTTTTCCTGCCTCACTAGTTTGCACAGAGGATGTTCCAATATTGTCCTTAACAACCATCATTTATTCTGTAACTAAATCATCAATCACCACACTGATAGGTTCCATTGTCATTCCAGTTTTTAAATTAAAGACTCTATAAGCTCTGCTTCTTGATGAGTAACCCATCAATATTCCTTCATCACTTATGGGAACCATCTCACTCGTTTGATCTATGTTAGCCAAGACATAACATTTACTTCCAAAAATATGAAAGTATTTGACTATAGGTCTTTTTCCTTTCCATAGCTCATAGAGAGTAAATGAAGAGCCTTCCCTCAAGGTGACCCTATTATGAATATAACATGCAGTATTGTTGCACCCCAAAATTTGACCAACATTTATTTACCTAGCATGATCATCTGCTTCTCATTGATATGTGTGCAGTAGGTCAAGAGGTATGATTACCCATCAAGAGTTATATAAGACTTTGAAGCTAGCCAAGAAGGTTGTTCAAGTGTTCAAAGGTTGATATCTTTGTCAGAGAACTCAAGAGATCCTCAGAGAGATTGGTTGAAACCAAGGTTGTGTGTCTCATAACTTGAGAGTTGTG